GGGCTCCCGGTGCATGGAGCCTGCTTCTCCCTCTGCCTGTGTCTCTGCCTCTCTCTCTCTCTCTCTCTCTCTCTCTCTCTCTGTGACTATCATAAATAAATAAAAAAATTTAAAAAAAAAGTTAAAAAAAAAAAACAATCCTTGTTCATCAGACTTCATAGGCTTGACTTCTTTGACAGGCACTGATCCTTGCTCGTAATGGGGAACAGAAACAAGGCAGCATGCTTGCTTGCATTTCCCCAAGGGTATTTGTCAGGGTGAGTGTGGGATGGCTCAGGGGCTCTGGGCCTGCTGGGTGACTGAGGTATCTTGGCCCTGGCCACCTGGCACCAGGAGCAGCCCGTGAGGCCGACGCCTGGCAGTGCCTGTTGGTGGGGGAGACGCTCTGTGAAGGAGAGCTTTGGGATTAGCCTAGGGTGGGAAGTATGGAAAGGGAAGGCTTTGGGATGGGGCTGCCCTGAGCATGAGACCTGAGTCAAGTACCTCACCCTTGGCGTGAGAGGTAGTAGGCACTCCTCCAGGCGGGGGGACTAAGTGCGGTACTGGCTGGGGCAGTTCTCATTCCAGAAGAAGTGCTTAGGGATCATCAATTCATCTCCTTTTCCCCAGCACAGAGGGGCAAACTGGCTCTTCCTGCCTGAGAGGTAGCCACATGTCAGGAAGATGTGTTAGGGAAATCTGCCTGCGAGCTTGCCTGGCCCCAGCACCCCACTACCACCATCACCCCTCCACTGTCCTTACCAACTAAAACTCCGTAATTCACAAAGTGCCTCCATATCCTCAGTCTTGTTTGATCTACATAACACTGCACAGGGCAGAGTTAGTCACCCACAGTTTTCGGGAGAAGAACCCAAGGCCCAGAGAGGGGAAGTGAGTTCCCTAAGGTCACACAGTTGGCAAATGATGGAGTCAGGACCTGTACCCAGAGCTTTTTCTCAGAGTGCTGGGGCCCCTCCGGCTCCCCCACCTTCCTTCCTCCTTCCCCAGGCAGTACTGGGGCTCTTCCTGCAGGCCCTGGGATGGCTTATTTGTGGGAATCAGCAGGGGGGCAGAGTGGCTCTGCACTGTGCAGAGCAGGGCACCAGAGAGGAAAGCACAGGAGCCCAGAGGGGTCAGGAGCATGCCCTGGAGGAGGTGGCCACAGGGCCAACTTTGTTAGAGTTCTCTGAGAGGAGGAACTTTCCAGGCTCAGGGACCAGCATGGGTACAAAAACCAAGAGGCCAGCTTTTGTTGAAGGATGAGGGTGCTTTTCGTTTGTGGAGGGACAGCTGACATTTCCAGGACTTTACAGTTTTCCTCCTTATAGATCCCTTTTGGGTGATGCTCAGGAAGGGAAGTAAGGCTTTTTGTCCAGATGGATGGGTCAGTCCAGGGAAAGGGATGGGGCTCACAGTCAGATTTGGGTTTAGAGCCTACTAGCCTAGGGTGGACCAGGTGTCTTCGGGCAAGTCCCTCTGCCCCTTTGGACCTCTGTGTGAGACATGAGCCAGAAGAGCCTCATATAGGAGGGGGGTTAATGGTCTGATCTGTCCTCAGGTGAGGCCCTGGATTTCACGAGAACTGAATTGTGGGATTCTTGGGCCTTTGGGTTTAGGTTTCTGTAAGTGAAAAGTAGGAGAAGGGATATTTGTTTCTGAACAGCCCCAGAGAGAAGCCTTTGGCCAGATGCCCTGAGGTCAGGCAGGGGAAGAGACTGGAGGATTAACAGGGTTTGATTCGGAGGCACTTCTGACTTTGTTGGGCAAAGGAGAATGGGGACCATGAGTACTTTGGCTGAGTAGGGGAGAGGGCACCGAGGAGTACATGTGGTAGCGTGGGACCTGGCCCCAGGGATGGTGGACCACACACAGTTGTGGGACACACACCTGCAATTTTGTGTTTGAACCTGCTATGGTTCCCAATGGCCTCTGAAAGCCACAAGCACCTTGAGAGGCAGGCAGAAAAATGGCAAAAGGATGAGCACCAGGGGCAGATACACCTGAGTGTGAGCCTTGGCCCCACCTCTTTCCATGGAAAGCACTTTGCACAGGATCTGGCTCCAAGCGTTCACTTTGAGGGTTCCAGTGCCCCCGGTCTATCCATTTGTTTGTCCAGAGCTCACACAGCCAGAGCGACCGACCCTCTGGAGCCGGGAGGCCTGGAAGCCACTGGTTGTCAAGTCCCAGCTGGGCTGCTCATTGTTCAGAAGAGCTGGGGGCTCTTTCAAAGGAAACTGCAGTCAATTAGTGGAGAGTGGAATTTGAAAGGCCCAAATCCCTTTTTTCCCCCAAACTTCAAATCTGGTTTTCGTCAGCGGCTTTGAAAACAAATACCAAAAGAACCCTTTTTTTTCCCCCTCTCCTCTTTTCCCTTCCCTCCCTGTGTATTCTTCTTTCCCAGGCTTTTATCTCTTTGCAGAGTCCCCTCTAGCAGCCTGGCCTGCCTAGCCTGGCCACACCGTGGTGCTGAGCAGGTGGCCATTGGGACATCACAGCCCTTTCCTTTCCAGCTCTGCGGAGCCCCTCTGACTCATCTCCATACTCCCTGAGCCCAGCCCAGAGAAGGTGTGGGTGCCCTAAAGGAGGGGTGGGTGAGGGAAGTGGATGAACAAAATGCTTTCAGGGCACAGAGACAATATTATAGTGGGGGGCGGGGTGCATAGAGCCATGGCTTCAGGCAGGTGTCTGGCTTCCCGCCCCTGCCTCATCCATCCATTGAGTTCCTGACTCATTCATGCCAGACATGTCTACCGAACACCCATTCTGGGCCAGTGCCTTTGCCAGGAACCCCAGGTGAATAGACACAGCGTTAGCCCTGGAAAAGCCCAGAGTCTAGTAGAAAAGAGTATGCACTGGCTGTGTCAACCCAGAGTGAGCAGGATGGAGAGAAGTTAGGAGCAGCCGGAGCCAGAAAAGGTGCCAGCCTAGCTTGTGGTAGTCAGAAGAGGCTTCCTGGAAGAGGTGGCTGCTGAACCCAGTCCTGAAGGATGAGTAGGAGTTTGCCAAGGAAAGGAGTGAGGGAGGACGTTATGGGCAGAGTGATTCAGAGAGCATAGGCCCAGAGGCAGCAGAGCCAGATTGCTCTGGAGGATGTTGGATAGAACTGTACTGTAAGAGCAGGTCATGGTGAGAGGTTGGCAGAGGCCTGTGGGGCCTCAAGGGACAGGCTGAGACCTGTGCTATCTACATCTTGGTATAATTCTCTATTCTTGGCTGTCCCATTAACTTCTAAGGGAAGGGGGGGTGTATCAGGTTGATCTCTGAAACTGTGTGTCATCTGGTATTGTTTAAGCTGTAGAATAACCCTCTGAGATACGTGTTTTATTCCCTTTTTATAGATGAGAATACCGAGGCTCAAAGATAATGAGGTCATAGTCTTGCCATGAATGTCAGCTGAGCCTAGACTCTGAGAGCTGCCTCAGCATAGCCCTGGACGTGTGTGTGGTGTGTGTGTGTGTGTCTGTGTGTGTGTGTGTTTAGGGGAACAGGGTAGGGGTAGGGGCAGCAGAGTGCCTCAGACTGCCTGGGTTTTAAATCCTGCCTTTCCATCTTTGATGGCTTTGGGCCAGCTATTTAACTTTTTTGCACGATAAGTTTCCTCCTCTGTAAAGTGGGCACAGGGGTGGTGCTCCCGACGTCATGGGGCTGCGGTGGGGAGCTGGATAGTCTCAGGGCTCAGCATGGTACCTACGCACAGTACTTGCTTAGTACCAGGCTGTGGTGGTTAGAGGTCCCCCCCCCCCCCCCCCCCCGCAGACAGGAAGCTTCAGATCCAGGGCCCACAGAAGGGCATAGTACTGGGGACCTTGGAAACCCTGCCGACCCATGAAAAGCTGACACTCAGGGAGGGGCAGGTCAGGATTTTTGCCAAGAAAGGTGTGGAGTAACTGGCCTGTTTTTAAACCAGACTCATGGCCTCAATTTTATACTCCTCCCGTTTGGTTACAACAAAAAGTAGTTGAGTCATTAACTGGTGCTGGATGCAAACTCAGGTATTTTTCCTTCTTTCTGGGCGTTCTTCATAAAGGAAGTCTGGGATCTTGGAAGGATGAGTTGGTGTTCACCCTGCCCGAGGCCCGGCTGCCCAGGAACCGGCCTCTGACTTCGGCTGACCTATCCCTGCTGCGTGGGGTGGCCCAGCACACAGGCGCACTCGTGGTGGTGTCCTTTCCTTTCCTCTGCTGCTCCTTGACTGGCTGCCCTGGTGCCCCCTGTGCTGAGGGAGGGACCAGTCAGTCCAGTCTGTGGGCTGCCGAGGAAGCTGAGACCGGCCTAGCCCGCGGAGCCAGCCAGCTGAACTCTGGCTATGCTGTGACCTCGTCACGGGGCTGCTATGTCCCTTGTCTGAGCGCTCACCATACTGGTAATACCACCAGTGACAACTTACCAAATCCCTAAACTGTGCTGGGCCCTGGGTAAGCTAGTCATGCGTAGTATTTCATTTTAGATCTCGTCTCATGATGATCTGTTACGTGTTGTGATCCCTGCTTCCAAAACAGAACGGAAGTATACACACTGGGGCTCCGTGAAATGTCCGAGCTGCGGTGAGGACCCAGACGGTCGGCAGGAGAGCCCGCCTTCAGCCAGGTCCATGCACTATGGGTTTCCTCAGGCGGAGCCTCATGGAGGGCTGTGAGGAAGACGGAGTCCTGGGGGAGAAAGTGTTCGCCCGCCGGGGAGCCCCGCGGGGAGCTGGCCGGCCTCCTTCCTGGCTTCCCCAAGCCCACGGGCCTATAAATACGCACTGAGTAAACGTGGGTCTGCCCCGGGCCCAGGAGAGAGGGCTGGAAAAAAAGAACCCCACCCTGTCTCCGAGGTAAGACAGGAAAGAAAATATTATCGTCACCCTCTGGTGGATCTAGGCCCGGCCCTGTCAAACTCTGAATCACCTGAGAGGGTCTGGTTTCACGGCAGCCGCAGAGAAAGGGAGAAAGGCCAGGGTTCCAACCCAAACAACTTGTGCGCATCTGCTTGGAATTTAGTGATTGATTTATGGGGCGCCTCCTGCCAGCCCTGAGGAGATGGACAGGGCCTCTCAGAGCTGCCACCCTGAGGGACAGGGGGAGACGGGAAGGCCAAGGAAAACTCTGACTGCAGCGGGGAAGCCGGCTGTGGGCCTGAGAGGTTTCCCCAGCGGCCTGGCACGAGGGCGGCGGGCTCCGCGGCAGCAGGGGCCCGGCGGGGCCGCCAGCCACCTCACCCCAGCCTTACCGGGCTGGCTTGCTGAAGTTCTGGAGAGTGTGGCCATTGTCACACGGCTGCTGTGTGTCTGTCTCCTGGTGTGGTTCCATCTCCAGAACGGCCCAGGAGGGTGGTGGTGTTCCACCTAGTTTACAGACGAGGCTGACGAGGCTCAAGAGCATGAGGATCTGTTCCAAGCTACGTGGTTCCGAGGCAGATCCTGATATTGAGGCTTGGGCTGTCAGGATGAAGCTGCAGGGCCTTGGAAGCATCTGGTCCAACTTGCTCCCTCTGCCCTCCACTCCCTGCCCCCTTCGTGTGACTGAGGAATTCCAGGCCCCAGGACCCTGGTGGCCCTCTTTCCACTGGGTCTGCTGCCTGGTTTCCAGTCATTTGGTCAGGTCCCACTTCCTCCTCCAGTGACCTCCCTAACCACTCCCTTCCAGGGTCACTGCTGGTTGTGTGCTGGTTGGCTCCTTCTGCTCATCCCTCCTTTGGCTTCTGGGTAAATGAACTTTTAGGGCGGGAAAGGGGCTTCCTGACAGCCACCTGGCCTGAAGTGACAGGGAGAGGAGCTGGCCAGCAGCACACAGGGAGTACAGCGAGGACACGGACAGAGGACACGCTGCTCCCAGATCCCCGGAGCCTCGCTATTGCTCTGTGCTGCCTCGGTGGCCCTCCTGGGGGTGGGAGGCAGGCAGATTGGGGAGAGGGGGAAGCCTGGATCAGGTTCAGGACTGGCTTGGCCACTTCTATGCTCTGCGGTGCTGCCGTGATGGCCTCTGGTTAACCCTGTGGGGGTCTTGGCCTCATCTGTCAGCTGAGGGAGGGACCGGGACTTCTGACCAGCTGGGCCTAAGCTGACCTGGAGGAAGCTTGTCCTTTTAGGCCAATATCTGTTTTGCTCAATTTTTCCTTCCTACGGCCAACGCCCAGTGGAGTTGCTGTGACGGTAATGAGGAGGCAGGCACCCTTGCCTTCCGATTTTTGGTGTACGGCACCAAGCTGGCCTATAGTTATTATCTATCAAGATGAAGAGACACAGAGAAACCTCTTTGCCTAGAGATACCTTTCCTGGCCTCCTCCTAACCCCTCCGCATGCACTGCCTTGAACATAGTACGGCAGTTACCTCCATCGTGTGGGATCCCTCTTCACACTCAGACATAGTGATCTCTCTAAGCCCACATTGGAACCTGGCTGTCTCCTGCCCTCAGGATAGCAGCCAAGCTCTAGGATCTGGCCCACAGGGGCCAGCGTCTCCGGGCATGTCCGGTCTGTGTCCTGACATCAGATCCTCCAGCCAGGCCTCCCGAAACACCAAGCTGTTTCACGCCCACATCCTCTGCTCACACGTGTCCTGTTTTAGGAATATCCTCTCCCCTGCCTGTTGGCATATGCCTACCCGTCACTGCTTGGCACATGGTAAGTGCTTAGCAATTTTGGTAGTGGTGGTGGTGCTCACGGGGCAGATAGTGACATTTCCCTCCCCTTGATGGAGTCATTGGCAGGCCTCTGTTGGACACGCTCTGCCCTGTGCTGTGAGCCAAGGCTTGCAGGACCCTTGCAAACTGGAAGTAGAGCATCTCTTCCAGCTGGGAGGTCAGTCTCAGCCTTGCGGGGGGCGGGGTGTATTTTGGATCCTAGCCAACATCATAGACAAAAGTGAACAAGTGAAGCTCAGTTGTACTATTCATCCCTAAGTCTGGAACAGTTTGATTTTACCACCCTTGGGATACAGTCCAGATTCTTAGTACCTGGGCTTCAAAGTATGGGTGCAATCTTGTGCACATATTCATACATTTTTCTGGGAGGGATAGTCTACAGTTTCATATGTTACAGGAGTGACCCCTCTGGTCTCAGTGACCCCCCCCCATTCCTCGTTGACACTTTATCTTCAGGGACCCACTTGTAGCTCCCCAGTCCCAGACATCCTCTCTGACCCTCCTTCAAACACTAATACCCGCTCATTGTCTGTTGCTCAGTTTAGAAGCCTCCTCCTCCTGGAAGCCTCTCCTGACCTTACAGGCTGGGTCAGACACCTTCTTGTTCCCTCCATCCCACGTGGCTACTGTCAGCCTGCTGGGGAGGGGCTGAATCTCAATGTGCCCCTGTGTATCCCAACAGCCACCCAGTGTGGGCCCAGCGTAGGGCTAGTGCTGGGCATCTGCTCAGTGAATAGCAGCAGGAATGATCTCAAAGATGGCAGAAACTGATGGGTGTGGGTGAAGTAGGAAGTTCCTAGGAAATGGAACTCTGTGGCTACTGTCACAGTCCGCTTCTTCATTGCTTGGCAAGCACTGGCTGGGTCCTGCTGCAGGTGCAGTGTTAGGGGCACAGGTGAAGCAGACCTTGTCTTGCCCACGAGGCACTAAAGAAGCAGAGGTCAGGACAGTGAAGCCTGCAGAGGAGTACAAGAGTGGCTCCAGTCCCCAGAATGTAGGGGAGTATAGACAGGGGAGTCTAGAACAAATCACAGGTAGAGAGCAGCGGTAGGTCGTGAGTGGGTTCACAGATGGCCCAGCGAGCTGCTTGCTGAATGACTGAGTGAGGGAGTAGAGGCAGGATTAAAGGCTGGTAAAGCAAAAACAAAAACAAAATAAAAACAAACAAACAAAAAACAGGTAAAACTCAAGTTGCAGTGAGAGGTGGGAACACTGTGTGGGCTAGAATCAGAAAAGCCTGGGTGTGGATGTCAGCTGCATGCCTGCATTCTACATCTTTGCATTTCTTTTTCTTGCCTTTCCATTCTGGCTAGGACCTCCTTACTATAACATTTAACATTATTATATAAAATAGAATATAGACTATTGTAGGAGTGGAAGGTGGAGGATGGAAGAGAGAATATCCTCGTCTGCTTCCAGCATCAGAGGGAAAGCTTTCAACGTTTTACCACTAACTGGTGGCTTTTCGTAAATACTCCTTATCATATGAAGAAAGCTCCTTTCTGTTCCTGATTGACTGGAAGTTTTCTTTTTTAAATCATGGGTGGATATTGAATGTTATCAAATGCTTTTTCTGCGATTATTGAGATGCTTAACATTATTTTTGTTTTTAAATCTGATGTGGTGAATAACATTAAATGACTTCTTAATGTTAAACCAATTTTGAATTCCTTGGATATACTCAATCTGGTAATTATGGTTTTTTTTTCCATTTACCTACTACTGGATTAAATTTGCTAATATTTTAGTTAGAATTTTCCCATTGTTGCTCATGAATGAAATTGACTTGTAATTGTCCTTCCTCATACTGTCATTTTTGAAATTCAATAGCAGTGGTTTTCTTAGCTAGTGAATTGTGGATTATTTTCTCTTCTAGTTTCTGGAAGAATGAGAGATTAGAATTATTTCTTCCTTGAGTGTTGGGTAGAAATCACTGGAAAAGCCATCTGGACCTGGAATTTTCTTTATGGGAAGATTTTAACCAGCTAAGCCACCCAAGTGCTCCATCTTTGTAAGAAGATTTTTAGATCATTTTTTCAATTACTTAAATGCCTGTAGAATGATTCAGGTTTCTACTTCCCTCAATTTTGGTAAATTATATGTTCCTGGGAATTTGTCCATTTTGACTGCCTTTCAAAATTATAGGCATAAACATATTCATAATATTCTCTAAACATCTTTATATTGCCTGTAACATCGAGTGTGGACTCACCTTTCATCCTTGATACTAGTTTTTTATTCATGTTGTTTTTCTCTTGTGATCTGTCTTGTCAGTTGTCGATCTTACTCATCTTTTCAAAGAACCAACTTTAATTTATTGATCTCTATTGTGTGTGCACATGTGTGTATATTTTCTATATTATTAGTTTCTGCCTGTATCTTTGTAATTTCTTTTTGCTTTATTTCGTTTTTTAACATCTTGAAATGGCTATTTATTTAACTCATTAAAATCTCAATACTTCTTTTCTAATAAATGCTTTGAAGACATTAAAAAACTAATATTTCTTGATCCCTTGACTTCTATCCTGTAACCTTTCTGAAGAAGGCGGGGGGGGGGCCCGGGGGGGGTAGCATAAAAAGCTCATGCGCGCAGCCGCAGAACAGCAAGGGAGAGGGGACTCTACAGAGATCGCAGATTGCAATGATTTAGGATAACAATTTGTGACCAGACTTGCGCCCAAGGAAGGTGGAAGTGCAGCCTTCTCTAAACTACTCTGAGGCAGGGGGTGCGGAGGATCATTCTGATTGACCAACAGTTAAAGAGAGGGATTGGATTACCTCTGGAATCACCTGGGATGTTTTTTTGTTTTGTTTTGTTTTTTTTGTTTTGTTTTGTTTTTTTACCTGGGATGTTTTGAATGGCAACTCTGACCACCCAGCCTTCTGGGCCCTCCCCCCATGGCCAATGGAAAGCCTGGTGATCCCAAGTCAACCCCAAACTAGAATCCACCCACATGTCCACCATCAGTAGAATGGATAAATAAGTTGTTGTGTGTGCATGCAATGAGATACTACACTGCAATGAAAATGAACGAACTCCTGCTACAGGCAACCTGGATGAATCTCACAAACACGGTGTTGAGCGAAAGGAGCCAGACAGAAAAGAATGCAGACTCTCTTCACAGAGGTCCTCCAGGATTAAGGGGACCAATGATTCCACCACTGCTGAGCCTCCCACCTCCTCCCAGGGGCAGAGGCCCAATCCGGGGAGGCCTGGGCCCCAGGTGCGGCCCATATGGTCGTGGCTGGTGGGGGGCCAATACTGAACCTCCTTTTCCTGGTCCAGGCCATGGGCGTCCTTCCAGAGGAGGCTTTCACAAAGAGCAGAGAAATCCCCAAAGGCTCAAAAGTTGGTCTCTTATCAAAAATACCTGCCTGCCCAAGGATGGCCCCCAAGTTATGGAAGACAAATCAAACCGCCCTGTCTGCCGACACTTTGCCAAAAAGGGCCACTGTCAATATGAGGACCTCTGTGCCTTCTACCACCCAGGCGCCAATGGGCCTCCTCTGTGAGACTGTGCCTTCCCATCCAGGCTGGAAGGAGCCCTCTGACCTAGCAGCCATATATTTCCCTGTGGCCCTGTGACGGCTACTGTGAGGCTGTTCCACCCACCACCCTCAGTCAGTGACACTCACCCCCATCTCTCACCTCCCCCATTTGGGGTCCAGAGTTTTGTTTCATCACTGGTGCCCAGCGTGTGGGCTTTCTTCCGATCCAGCCTCCAGAGACTCGCCTTCAGGACCCCACCTTTGCTCTCTTCAACTGCCTCCTGGATCCTCTTCCCCTTCGCTGATTGCTGAACAGGAAACCTCTTTGGTGCTATTTCTTGTGCGTCTGTCCACCCAGCCCTCGGCACTGCCCTCGATTCCTAAGAGCCCTGGAGCAGTTTCCTACCATTCCCTTCTTCTAGCAGCTTGTTTTAAGTCCTTTTTATGTGACAAACCCTACCCCCAAAGTTGCCACTTGCTCTGTGAAACTCACCAGGTTGACCTGGGGTCAAGTATGGATGACTGGTGCAGAGTTACTCCCTGAAAGGCCACTCTCCCTGCTTTTGGATTTTGTAGATCCTGCATCAGTAGCATGATCCCCACCACTCTGGTCTGTGATCACTGTGCTTTGTGAAACTGTGCATCCCCTTGTACGTAGCCTTTCTCAGTGTCCGTGGCATCATTGTGACTTCCCAACACTAGAGTAAGTTTTTCTGCCAAAATGAGTGAGGCTCTTGATGCCCTCTAGACTTTCCACACCTCCCAACATGGGAGAATTGTGAAACTTTCCGCAAGACTGCCTCCCTGGTCTCCCCATTCTCCTGGTGTCGGTTTTTTTTTTTGGGTTTGACACAAGCCCATGAGATGTCCTCTAAAGCCTCTTACGGGCTATCCTATCTCCTCTCCAGCCCACTTTAGTTAGAGTACATCATTGTGAGGCCACCAGCCCTTTCATCTGAATTCTGTGAATCTCCACCTGGCCTACCCTTGGGTGGAACCTGGACGGTACTGTCACCCTTGTCTAACCTTCTTCCCTGCATCCCTGGCACTGGTTGTTTTCTGTAAAAATGGCAGTGAACAGGTTCGGTTTTGCACTGGCCCTGAGGAAATGGGTCAGGAGTTGTGTGGGCAAGAGGGAAGGATGAGAGCTGTTAGAGAACTGAGAATGAATTTTTTTTCTTTTTAACATTTTTTATATTAGTAATATATTGCAGTGGAAACAAAAAAAATAAAAAACTAATATTTTCTTAAGTACTGCTTTAGCAGCATCTCAGAAGTTTTGATATGTAGACGTTTCGTTATCAACCAGTTCAAAATATTTTGTAGTTCCCATTGCATCTTTGAGTCATGTGTGGTAATGGGACATGTTCTATTCATTTAAGTCTTTTGAAATTTATTGAGAGTTGTTTTGTGGCCCAGTTTGGACTGTGGACCCTCTTCTCACTTTCTCAAGAACACCATCGCTCTGGTGATTCTTCCCTTTTGTCCTGTATCAGTTTTTGCCTCCCTCCCGGCTTGTTGCCATTACCATACAAGCCTGCTATTGTTTCTGACATCTTTTAAAAAACAAATCACAATCCTGTCCTGACTATGTATCTACCTCCAGTCTGCTTCTCTTTTCCTTCCCACCTGTCTGAGCCTGGTTTTCCCTGCAGGTGGAGATTTTCATGCTCTAGTATAGGTAGTTTCCTTGGGAGGTGATTCCAGGGACCCCCAAATGAGAGATGGGGGGTGAAACAGGACAGAGGCGGAGGGATAGCTTATCGAGAGCCCCTCCCACATGCATCTCAGAGCACTGTCAAGGAGGAAGTATTGATTCCTGGGTACCTGTACCCACTGGCCAAGGATGGTCTGGAGCCTTAACCCCTTCCCATGTTAGGGTTGGGTGTGTGAGGTTGCATTACACACGCTTGTTTTATAGGAGGCACTGCAAACCACACTGCCTGAGGCCCTGAAGCAGTGACCACAGTAAGGGGCAGTGGGAAAGATGTCAAAGGAGCAAAGGAGAAGTCTGGGGATGCATTTTAGCAAGCTGGGAGAGCTGCCTGCGCTCAGCATCTCAAGTTTCTCTCCTCTCGTTACTTTGTGAGTAATCTCCAACCAGCGCTTTACACTCCCCCAGCAGCTTTGGTTCAGGTTTCTGGTGGCTTCCATGTGGCCAAATCTAGGTGACAACTCTTAGTCCTTACTTTAGTTGTCCTCTGAGCAGCTTTGGACATGATAGATCACTCTCTGCTCCTTGAAACAGTTCTTTCTCTCAGCATCGGGATGCTGCTGAGACTGGTTTTCCTTTTGTGCCTCTGGCCAACCCCGTCAGCCCTCCAACCTCTAAAGCTGGTGTGCCTACGCTTAGTCCTTGGACTGCTTTCTTTGCTGTTTATACTCACCCTCTTGGTGGTCTCATCTATATCACTGCATTTCAAATACCATCGATCTGCGCTTGGTCCAAAGTATGTCCCTGGCCCTGATCTGCCCCCCTGAACTCCAGACCTGTCAGTCCAGTTGCTCTTCAGCATTTGCATGTCAGAAAAGACCAAGACAGACTTCCTGATGGTCTCCCCGAAACTGGGTCCTTCTTCTGTGTTTCCTGTCCCCGTAAATGGCAACTCCATCTTCATAGGTCTTGAGGATATAAAATGGACTCTTCTTTTTCTTGCATTCCCCATAGGTGCTCTGTCAGTAGATTCTGATGCCTCTACGCTCACCACATAACCACAATCCAGCCCCTTCCCACTGCTTTGGCGGCAGCCAGTGTCATCTCACTGATGGATTGCAGGGGCCCCTTAGCTGGTTCTCTGTCTCTGTCTTGCCCCGTCAACACGGTGGCCTGAGAGATCTTATTAAAGCAGTGGTTCTGAACCAGAGCCGTTTTGTTCTGTAAAGAACACTTGGCAGCATCTGAAGACATTCTTAATTGTCACAACTGGTTGTGTGTGCATATGGGTGCATGCATGCTACTAAGGATGCTGTTAAACATCCTGCAATGTAGAGACAGCCCCCCAGGACAAAGAATTATCCAGCTCGTAATGTCAGTAGTGCTGGAGTTGAAAAACCCTGTGTTAAAAACATTAGTAATGCTGCTTTTTTGCTTAAAACTTACCCAAACAAATCATCTTATCCAGATGTGGAGGTAAAATGAGATCTGTTTAAAGCCCTGTGAGGTCCAATGTGATATCCACACACATATACACCCTTCTATACATCTCTCTTATTACTCTGGTCTCTGGCTCCTCCTTTGTGCCCTCAGGCTTACTCCTCTCCAGCCACACTGGTTTGCTGCTGATTCTGGAGCATGTTAGGTTTCCTGCTGCCTCAGGGCCTTGGCACTGGCTGTTTCCTCTGCCTGGAATGTCCTCCTCCTCTCAAGCCCTAACATCCTGAGGCTCAGTGCCTCACCTGCTTCAGGTCTTTAGCCAAGTGACACTTCTTAATGCAGCCTTCCCTGAACATCCTATATAGAAGTACATTTTCCCCTCAGATACCTCCTCCTGTTTTATTTTTCTCCTTATGACTAATATTCCATATAAGTTAAGTTTTCATTTTACTTATCTTACATCCCCCTTTAGAAGATGTGCTCTGTAAGAGCAGAGGTTGTTACCCATATTATTCACTCCTGTATTCCTAGCACTGAGAATAGTCCCCAGTGCATAGCAGGCACTCAACAAAAATGTGATGAATGAATGATGAATGAATAATGTTTTGTAAAGTGTAAGTACATGCATGTGATATTTGTGATTATTATTACACTATGGTGCTACTAAGGGAGATGGTAGAAACTCTGCCATAAGGTCTTGAAAAAAAAATAACACAGATGGGGACAATTGGTTAACTATTTGGGGAAAAAAATAAAGTTAAATCCTCACCTACATTATCCTGCAAAATACATTCCAGATGGATTAAGGAGTTAAGTGTGAAAAATGAAGCCACACAAAAAAATTAGAAGGTATTATAGGGAAATATTTATCTTATGTCTGGTTGGAAAAGGACTAGCTTTACATAAAGCCCCTGGAAATGATCTCAACCAGGGACTGTTACATTGGACCGCGTGAAAATTTAGAGCACTTTCACATGTAAAAATTTATAAACAATAAAAGGCAATCAACAAAGCGAGTAAAGCATTTGCTACAGAGAGCAAGCCTGATGTCTTCAATACATAATAAAGCCACCCCAAGGGCAGCCCCAGTGGTGCAGCGGTTTGGCGCTGTCTGCAGCCCGAGGTGTGATCCTGGAGATGCAGGATCAAGTCCCATGTCGGGCTCCCTGCATGGAGCCTGCTTCTCCCTCTGCCTCTCTCTCTCTCTCTCTCTCTCTCTCTCTCTCTCTGTCTGTCTATGAATAAATAAATAAAATCTTAAAAAAAAGCCACCCCAAAATGATAAGAAAAATGGAGAAAGAACAGGAACAGGCTATTGACAAAAGAAGAAATGCAGTTAGCATTCCCCACCTTGACATTAAACCCCAAATAAAAACGGAATAATCATTTTGGTGTCACAAATTAGCAAACACAAAGGAAATCCTGTTCCTTCTCGCTGCAATGTGCAATGAAGGCGGCCACCTCAGCAGTCAACTGGTGTGAGTATGAACTGGGACCGTCTTTCTGGAGGGCAGCCTGACAGTATGTTCCACAAACCTGGAAAATATTCAGTCTCGTTGACTCAGGAATTCCTCCTTTTGGAAGTTATCCTGAGGAAGCATTCAGACATGCAGACAGTGATTTATGTTCAGCAAATAATACTCATCACAGCATTATTTATGACAGTAAAAAACCAGGAACAACCTAAATGTCTAATAATAGGGAATAACTAACTACATTATAATGAATCCCATAATGGAATACTATGCAGCCATCCAGAAGGGATTTGTTGTTGTAGTTGTTTAAAGATTTTATTTATTCATTGGAGACACACAGAGAGAGGCAGAGACATAGGCAGAGCAAGAAGCAGGCTCCCTGCGGAGAGCCCAATGCAGGACTTGATCCCAGGGTCCAGGGATCACGCCCGGAGCCAAAGGCAGATGCTCAACCA